CGAAAAACGCTTCGGGAAACTTCCAAGCCGGCACGCGTTAACGGCGACCGTAGCCGGCGAACATGGCCGTCTTTTATATGTCACTGATGTGATAACGAGAGTTCGCTACCTCGTAGATACTGGCGCAGAGGTTAGCGTTCTCCCAGCGAATTCCGACGACAGGCTACACGAGCCTGTTTTAAATCTACAGGCGGCAGACGGAAAGCCTATCGCTACTTATGGCAAAAGGTATGTTTATCTTAACGTGGGTTTACGCAAACCCATTCACTGGATTTTTGTTGTTGCAGATGTTTCTATGCCAATCATTGGTATGGACCTTCTACAACACCACAACTTAATTATCGATACGCGCAAACGGAGGTTAGTAGACGGAAACACTAATTTATCTGTTTGCCTGACTTCTTTTTCTGGTTGCAGGTTATCCCCAGTCACTATTAAGCACACTATAGAACCCTTCTACCAACCACTACTCGATAAGTATTCTGGCATTTACCAATCGCAACCGAAATTGCCGTGTGTAACTAGCAATGTTACACATCACATCACGACTACAGGACCACCTGTCTTCTCGAAAGCACGCCGACTGGCCCCCGAAAAGTTAAGGTTGGCGAAAAACGAATTCGACCATATGATAAACTTAGGGATCATACGACCGTCAAATAGCCCATGGGCATCTCCGTTGCACATGGTCCTTTAAAAGGACAGCAACGATTGCCGTCCAACTGGTGACTATCGGAGATTGAATGCAAAAACCGTTCCCAATCGTTACCCGTTGCCCCACATTCACGATTTGACAGCTACCTTGAAAGGTGCAACTGTCTTTTCAAAAATTGACTTGGTAAAAGCTTATAACCAAATTCCTATGGCCACTGAAGACATTCCAAAAACCGCTATTATAACGCCCTTCGGACTCTATGAATTTTTGCGAATGCCTTTCGGTCTGAGAAACGCGGCACAGACTTTCCAAAGGTTCATAGATGACGTTTTTCGAGGTCTCAACTTCGTACATGCATACGTTGATGACTGTCTAATAGCGAGTCCGGACAGAGAATCACATCTCCAGCATCTGGACATTGTTTTCGACCGACTACAAAAACATGGGATTACCGTGAACATTCAGAAATGCCAAATCGGAACCGAATCCTTAGACTTCTTAGGACACACTATAGATGCGCATGGCATTCGACCCCTTAGAACGAAAGTGGCGGCCATTCTGAATTACCCAGAACCGACCACCATCAAGCAATTGCGCACGTTTAACGGTCTGGTAAGTTTTTATAGACGATTCATACCGAAATGCGCGTTACTTATGAAACCCCTTACCGACCAACTTCGTGGAAATGCGAAATCCATTAATCTAGATGACACTACCCGAAAAGCATCCTCCACGGTTAAGGAACATATCGTCCGAGCAGCAATGCTTGCTCATCAGGACCCTAAAGTGCCCATTAGCATCGCAGTAGACGCATCCGACTCAGCAATCGGAGCAGTCTTACAACAATGGGTTAACCACTGCTGGCAACCTTTGGCATTTTTCTCTAGACGGTTGCTAGACACTGAATCGAGGTACAGCACATTCGGTAGGGAACTCCTAGCTATGTATTGTGCTGTCCGGCATTTTCAACACTATATCGAAGGCCGTGAATTTATCATTTTTACCGACCATAAACCACTTACCTTCTCCTTAAGCTCTTCTTCGGACAAGTACTCACCACGTGAGTCTCGACAACTGGACTACATTTCGCAGTTTCCTTCAGATATTCGACACATTTCTGGAGCAAACAATGTAGTCGCAGACGCCTTGTCTCGTATAAATTCCTTGAACAGTTGCCAAGGAATCGACCTTTTAAAACTCGCCCAACTTCAAAATGAAGACAGTGATCTTCAGCACGAGTTGGCCTCAACAACACTTAAACTGCGCATTAAACAGATGGGAACAGGCAACGAAACCTTACTTTGTGACACATCTACAGGTAGGGATCGCCCAATCGTGCCGAAACAATATCGACGCAACGTCTTCGATACGTTGCACAGACTTTCTCAGCCAGGTGTTCGTGCAACCATCAAGCTTATAGCAGAACGGTTTTGCTGGCCTGGTATGAATAAAGATGTGAGGGAGTGGGCACGTTCCTGTGTAAGCTGCCAGAAATCTAAGGTTATTAGGCATAACAAATGTCCCTTAGGCTCGTTTAAAACTCCCGATGCTCGCTTCGATCATGTTCATTTGGATTTGGTAGGACCTTTACCAGATTCGAATGGATATTCTTATCTTTTAACATGCGTAGACCGTTTTACTCGATGGCCAGAAGCAGTACCCATCAGAGATATTACTGCTGAAACAGTGGCCCGCGCCTTCGTCGAGAGGTGGGTAGCAAACTTCGGCTGCCCAACAACCATTACTACAGACCGTGGACGTCAGTTTGAATCTGAACTGTTCCGTTGTCTTACCATGAAACTAGGAATCACTCGCTTTCGAACGACGGCCTACCACCCACAAGCAAACGGGTTAGTAGAACGTTTTCACCGACAACTAAAAGCGTCACTATCAGCCTCAAACATTTCTCAGTGGACTGACGCTCTTCCACTCGTCTTACTTGGCATACGCAATGCAGTGAAATCTGACATTGGATACACTGCATCTCAACTCGTTTATGGTACGACCCTTCGACTTCCAGGAGAGTTCGTGGATCCTTCATTCTCTTCGATGGACATGGATCTAACCTCCTACGCGAACAGGCTTACAAACGCAATGCGTTCAGTTAAACCTGTTTCCACTCGACCACAATCAACTGATGTTTTCGTTCAACCTGACTTACTACATAGTACACACGTTTTCGTGCGTCGAGACTCGCATCGACGACCTCTCGAATCAACATATGAAGGACCTTTCAAAGTTCTTCAACGCGAATCTAAGTACTATATAATACATAAGAACGAAACCAACGAAAGCATCAGCATCGATCGCCTCAAAGCAGCGTATTTAGAAGGAAATCCTATTCACGTCGATTTTCCTTCAATACAATCGCACGACACAACTCCTGCGCTTATAATGCCTCAATCGACAGCAGACACACACGTTGATACTGCGACGGTATCCGAAAATAAACTCAAAACAACGCGTTCTGGAAGAAGAGTAAGATTTCCAGAACACTTGAACGATTACTGCACGTAAGATACAAGTTAACATTTTACATCCTCTCGAATTTCCCTTTGTACTATATATAATTTTTTTTTAAAAAAAAAACCTGAATTTAATATGCTTATATATTATTTTTTTATTTCAAAAAAGAAAAAAACAAAAAAATAACAATATTATGAAAATCTTATTTTACGCTACTACGTGAGCATGAGTTTGTTTTCCTTTTTCTTCGCTTGTTTTGTGTTTTCACGCGCGTACGAGTGTATTCCGACATGCACTTACATATTTTTCTTTTCTTTTCCAGGACGACTGGAAAAGAACGATGAAGTTGCGAAAAACGAAAATCTGCATTGTACCTTTTTTTTACTATATGGTACATCATGGTCCATCAGAGTAAGGAAAGACGACCAGAAGCTGCTAAACCTAGCAAGCTATCAGAAGAGTGTTTACCAACGAAAATCTCGTTGGGTTTAAACTTCTGGCTGGCCACGTCTTAGGGTCATCACTACCCCACTAGGGGGGGAGTGATCTGTAGCGGTAAATAATTCCCCAAAATCAAATAGCTCTGTAAGTTTTCGACATTGGATGCTGACCACAGTTTTAGTGGACTCATCTAGCTGAAGGCACTCGGTCAAGCATCCATACCAGATCACGTGTGGGAACGCCGTGCTCAACATCTGCCTCAATCGCTAGCCAGATTAGTGCAAACGATCCTCGATATATTGATAGCTCATCAAATATATCTTCGATCTCCTCGCTTCTGTCTTTTGATTTTACTTGGTGGGTGCGCTTCGTATTAGAAGGTGTTACTGGTTAAAGCGTTGTCAAACTCCGAATACCTGTGGCATCTTCAAGAGTTTAAAATAATTTGGCGGTCAACACACAATGCTGACTTCTAAAAAGTGAAGCTTAACCCAGATTTTATTTCATTCTATCAGATATTCAGTAATAGTGTACTGAGAGTGGAATATCCTTACAATCGATTTGATCCAGTCGAATTAAATTTAATCGATCTTGTTGCAGAATTTCGAGAGCTTGAATTCCTCGTTGTACACCTGTGAAACTGATTTGCATTCGCTTCATGAGTATGATAATCCTCACATACTTTAGCGAGATCGGTAAATAGTGCATTTACAGGTATGTTCTTATCTCAACATTCTGCTTAGCTATTCCAGTTTCTTGCGAGGTCTGCCTTTTTTTGTATCAATATCGCACTTCATGGAATAGCTTGTTCTCATCAATGAATCTTATAATTTAACCATATATAGGCTGTTCAATAATTTCGATAATATTTAAAATCATGTTACTGGGCTGTAGAAACTTCAGTGATTTCTACCTGTAATCCTGGATTAGCAGTACATCCAAAGCAACAGAAATATAGTGCTGCTTACTTAAATTTTATAATAGTGATCAGAACCATGACAAATATCAGCTAGATGACTAGTCTTTTACTGATCAGTTGTATTATTATTTTTGATTCACCTAATTTCAATTTCTTAATTTGATAGATTCATCATCATGATAGGCTAAATTTTTTAGATACTGAAACACAATCAAATCGCATAAACAGTAAATATGTAAAATTCACTTGGTGTTGTTTTACTTATAAGCTCTCAGTGTTATTTAGGACTGCAATTAATCAGTCTCATGTTGGCATATGTTCATCCTGTGCGGATTGTCTCGGTATAGCCTTAAGTCACAAGCTTTTAAAGTAAAGATGAATAGTGGCTAGAAGTGGAATCCAGGAGGCGCGTTTCGTCTTATTCGGGACTCGTCAGCTGGATGCTAGAAGAAAGATTCAACATGGACAAACTCATGATAGCATTTTCTCATTGAGCGTTATAACTAACAAGAATGAACTGATGTATACGTTTATGTATATCTATTTGATGATACGATGAAAATTTGTAGAATAGTGAAACAAATACTAAACAATTTGAACAACTAAATTCATGAATAAAAGTACGATTAAAATAAATAATACTAATTAACCATTTCATAGAAAGAACATCCAACCCCAGCAAAATGAAAAAAATTAGTTCTTTGCTTTTAAATAACAAATAAATGCCATACAGATAGTGAATGGTACTTTGAAACTAATCATGTATGACTATGATTACCAAAATATTGAAAACAGTGCAAAAATGTAATGTGTGAGTAATACAGATATGGGTGGTGGTAGTGATGGTAGGGGGTAAAAAGGGCAAACAATAAATGATGATAGAGAATTTTTTTCTTTTTACGACCAAGATCACCGATAAGGGAACATATTGAAAATATTGAGAAAAAAGAGGAAATTTGATAAGTAACTTGATCAATGAAATGAATAAATAATAAGTAAACATATTGACTTAACAAGAATGAAAAATAAGCCTAAACTAAATGCCATTATAGAGATCATTTACCATAATTATCAGAAACAAATGAGTAGAGTAAAGAAAGTCAATGTGTCCATGTTGTCTTATATGAGTTGTTGTTGTTTTTCTTCTTCTTCTTCTACATCATCTCCTTCTTTGTTGAATTCATTCAGATACTTTTCATTTTCATATTTATAATTTGGTTTTATTTCTTGAATTAATTATTTAAATTTACATGATCATCAGTATCATTTTCACTGCATGAACATTGAAAATCATCATCATCTTCTTCATCAGATCTTAATGGATTTTCATATAATTGAATTGTTGGATTACATACAATTGGTGATCCACTATTAAGATTATTATATATTGATGATGACATATTCAAAGAGGCATCATAACGCTATGAAGAAATATTGAAAAGTAAACAGAATAAAATATGTTAGTTAAACATTACTATTATATAACACAGTGTTAAATATTAAATCTGGACAGACATTAGTTGATAAATAAAATTAAGGTGATTCTGAGTAATTTACGGTTTACATTTATCATTATTATAGAAGTTTGAGACCTCCCCACTCTCACCTCGTATCTTTCTTAGCTAGATAATAGATCTTAACGATGAATAATCGAATGTCGATATTTTCCAAGTTTTGACCAACTTCTTATTTCGAGATATTTATTTAATCTTTTATTGTTCTAATCACTGAGTACATCCGACATTAAACCATCAATCTATACTTATTACTCATTAAGTTGAGTTACGTTGTTATCTGTGGATTTATTAATATTTATTAAGTTCATATAAATATTACTGTATATTAGAGTAAATTTTGATGAAGATTTAATTGAAAACAACATTGTAGGCTTATGTGTGCTGTTCCAATCAAATATTCAGCTTGAAAATAAGATGTTTACATACTACTAAGTACATATTACCATTAATGATTCAAATGAGAATAATTCAGTCACTGAATTTATTGAATATCACTCCGTACTTTTATATATTAATGTGAGATTATAGATAATATAATTTAATAGTTGGATTCATAACTCGTCCTATTCGGGACTCGTCGTCTGGATATACCTGCATCTCAGAGTTGATGTTCACTCTGTGACTCGATTCCACTGCTAGCCACTATCCATCTTTGCTTATAAGGCTTGTGATCTAAGACAATGTCGAGGCAGACCGCATAGAATGCACATATGCCAACAAGAGACTAATCAATCGCAGTCCTAAATATCAATGGAAAGATTCAAACAAACAATATCAAATCTCCGACCACCTAAAATCTAGACGTAGTTCCCGAGAATCTAATTCATTTGAACTAAATGAATTCAATCAAGAATACGGTCTCAATAGTTGTTCTTTGGTAACCAACCAGTGTACGCAAAATACTTCTGATCCGTTGGCCAGACACTAACAGCAACAACCTACTATGGAAGAGAACAAACCAGATCCTAATGGACGAAGAAATCAGGAAGAAGCTCTGGAAGTGGATAGGACACACATTGAGGAAAGCATTCAACTGCGTCACAAGGCAAGCCCTCACATGGAATCCTCAAGGCCAAAGGAAAAGAGGAAAACCAAAGAACACATTACGGCGAGAAATGGAGACAGACATGAGAAGAATGAACAATAATTGAATAGATCTAGAAAGGAAGGCCCAAAACAGAGTGGGTTGGAGAATGCTGGTCAGTGGCCTATGCTCCATTAAGAGTAACAGTAGTAAGTAAGTAACCAACCACTGACTATGTTCTATCATGTTCAGAAGAATGATCATGTGTTTTAATCATGAAAACGTTTTTATAAAATTAATAATTGATAAATAACATTTTAAAATACTTTTTCATCCAACAAAATAGTTTTTGCTTCATATTCTTTCATATTAGATTGATTAACAAATGGATTCGGTGTAATTCGTATTGGTTGAACTTTCTGTTCATTTTCATATTGTTGTTGTTGTTGTTGTTGTTGATGTTGATGATGATGATCATTTATTATCGTTTGAGAATTATAATCATTCAATTTTGAATTTCTTAATTTTTCAGCGCTAGTTTCTAACTTTCTTCCATCTTGAAATTTATTCATTTGTTTTAATGAATTAATATCAAATGATGTCATTTGAAAATTTTGAACATGTGATTCAAAATGATTCGATTTTAAATGAACACGATGAATTCGTTTGATAGCAACAAACAATATTAAGAGAATTGCTAAAACTGAAGAGCTGATAAGTAGTAAAATACCCTGGAATATAATACAAATTGAACAGAAAAATAAATGAATTTTAAGATAACCCATAATTTAAAAAAAATTTATTACGTAAATATGTAACCATCATTTGTGTATAAATATTTTAATCTGGTTAATGTTATAACTTTTACCCTGTGTCCTATGAATGTATAACGTAATAATACTGCCAATTAGAGAACAGTGATTTATTGACCGGATCAATGACACATAAAATCCCGTACGAGCAGTCTAGAGTCCTTATCGGTCCTGCTTCCTGCCTAGCCGAGCCAGTTAAGTCCAGAACACCATTCTCAACCTCTGTGATATAAACCATGTATTACAAACATACTGGGTTTATATACCAACCAAACAGGCCACATCGTACCATAAAATAGAAAATAAAATTTGTACAAAATCAAGTCAAAATTGTCTGTGAATGTGAGCGACTGTAATTAATAGACAGGGTATAATTCAAAAATGGTAAATCGTATAATAATAGTTCCTAAGTCAAAATAAAGCTGATAATAAGAGGGACATGAATATGAATAGTTTAGTTAATTAACAATTATACGATAAAAATATACACATAGTATTGGTTCATAAATGGATCCCAAAAGTTATCATTCATTATACTCATCAAGATATAACGGTTAACATCTTAATAAGATACATATAATGGTACTTGAGAGGAAAAAAATACTCGGTAATTCCAGTATGTTATGAAAATTCAAATGGAATCAACCAAAGCAAAGAATTTTCAAAGTCGTTATTATGGAAATTTTCAACCATTAGAGTACATTTGAATATAACCCACTGAAACCAGAGTGTTTGGTCAATGGTTCTTAAGAAAACTTCCAAATTTTAAATAAATATTCATTCATTTCACATTGCACCAAAGTCGTATTACTTTTATTCTTAGTACTGGGGGCTAAACTGAAGCAAGTGTTCTTTTGCTAATAAAAAATTGAGTGAGCTGAACAATAATGGGCTATAAGTTTAACAATATGATTGAGAAATGTTACAACTGAAATCAAGTGATGCAAACAAAAATATTATATCCAATGACACTTTAATTTTCTATGAATTTTAATAATAAACATATAATGGTAAGAATGATGGACACCTAAAGTAGTTAATTTCCATAGGAAATCTATAGAAAGTTGATTCTGAGTGTATAATGTAACTGATAGTGTGGAAAAGATTGATACTTGGTGAATTTTATTTATACAACATATAAATGTCCAAATAAAGTTCACATTTTATAGTTTGAAAAAAAAATCTGGGTATCAGGTAAATGATATTTTCAAATGAGTAAATAAATAAAACAGAATTATTTTACTGACGTTTCACCACTTAATACTAATAATATCTTAGTCAGATTGGGCAACCACTGTCGTGGAAGTCTTACTCACTACCTTCTCGCGTTATTACTGTTGTTTACGAAATTCAGAGGACGAAAAGCGAATGTCTAGCCCTTTAACCGGATTGGTGGAAACAGAGAATTCACATAGGGGAGTTGGTAAACCCTGATTCCAAATCAATGATGCACATGGGCTCCAGTATCCTGAGGGAAAAATGGCGTATGAACCAATAGTTGGTCACCAGCTACTATGGGACTGCATCTCCTCACGATGCTCCACTGCCCTTTTGGATCGAACCTTTAGGTCAAAGGCTTCAGGTGTAGCTCCCTAAGAAAACCACCTGCTTCGGTTTGGGCACCCGGGCAGTATTCCAGTCCTCACATAAATCGAATGATTTATGTGGCACATATTTAGTTGGTGCCTCCTTATATCAATGTTGATGTGTTTAAATAAAAAAACAAGAAGTAGTGACCAAAGGAGTTCAAACATGTTGGTCGTGAGATAGTTATTCACCTCAAGCATTGAAAAAATGTCCCAAAATAACATAAATTAGTTGAAGTTAGACAATGTGACCACTGGATGCTCGTTAAGTGGTCTAGACATTTCATTTCATGATCGAGACCATAGGTCCTTGGTTAGATTCCTGGTTGCTGTACCGTGGTTAGGCGCTGCTGAGGAGTACCGTACTTGAACGAAACGGGCGTTCCGTGCTTTGCAGTTCTCAACAGTGGTTTAACTAAGATTAGTCCATTAGATAAAACTATGAAAATGCCATACTTGTCTAGCCCACTTTTATCTGGACTGTGATTTTTGGTGAAACCGATTCCAATCTGAATTTCCACAGGTTTGTAGGTCTCCATTACTGATGAGTTATAACTAACACGAAATCGTGTTTTAGGATCATCGTTAAAATTGTCGTTAACCATCGGACACCGATATGAGCATTTTTGGAAGTTAATTTTCATAGAAATTTATCTATGAAGATTTCTTGAGGTAATTTTTAATGTTTCATTAAACACAACTCAAAATCTAAAGTATAGTAAAATTGTATTTAAAGCAATTATACTGTTATATTTTGATGGAACAGTTCACTTGTGTTTAAAATTTAGTGAAATCATTAACAGGTAGCTTTGTCTATTTATTTCTTTCAATCACCATCAAAATAACACAGTACATTGATTCGGTTAGCTAAATTTTTTCGTATTGTCGTTAGCTGGATCAGTAAAAATTTAACGAATCGTAACGAACAAGACATATGTGATTAGTTGCCGTAATTATACTTAAAAAGAATAGGAATCGACATAAACTCTTAGTATCAGGTTAAAATCAGTTGTTTTCACAAGAGGAGACGAGTTTCATACGAACTTAGATTTTAGTCAATCAGTCAGCTACAACGTAGGACCAGGCATATATATGCATCGATCCAAGTTGCCATACCTCATTAGCAAAACAAGATGAATACCAAATTCATTGAAACAGTCAATTTAATGGTAGTTATACGCAAAAGAAAGATTGTGTATAGGGAATTAATACAGAAAGAAATAATTAGTTCGTAGAAACAAAGATATAAAGCAATTTTATTCTCACAGTTTAAGGGAAGACAAAGAGTGTATAAACTGACGTCATTGTGATCGATTCTGAGCCATGTCACACACGGTCTTCAAACATTGGTTACGATAGTCATGCGGACACCTCTCCCACAAGTAGTCTGCATCTACCAGCATGACTGATGTGAACAGGGAAGCAAGAAGCCCTGACAAACTACGAAGGCTATCTTTCGGGACGTTATTTCATTTTATTCGAAGCTTGTTAAACACTGACATTTATTTTTATCCCTAATCTATTTTACAGGACATAAGCTTTCGTTCGATGTATCATTCACTGCCATACCCTTTTCTGTTCCGAAGCTATTGTAATTTAAACATAATATTTTGCACCCAATTTCTACTCTAATTCCCAGCTTTGGACATAATTGTATTTTTCCTAATTATTGTACGTTGCGGTCGGGTTATTCACCTATTTATTCATGTACCTTTTTACACTTATCTGAAATCAGGAAATCAGGAGATCAGGATATCAGGAATAGATCGGGTAGTGATCCAATTGTCCTGTCTTCTCATTCGTGTGTTTGCCCACCAATCAGGTGGCAGAATAGTTTTTCTTCTCTCTACCCCATCTCGAATTCACGCGTACTAGTCTCAAGGTTAGGCCGATCAGCCTATCGCATCAAGGTCGAAATCTGCATTAGAAAGTATCCTCGGCACCAAAAGTGGATAGACAGACCTAAGGTCATAACGATGGCTCAGATCAGAAGTTAGTGACCTCAAGGACCGATGCCCCATTTTGGTTTGGTCGCCTATAACTTTCGTCCATCCGTTTCCAACACTAGTCAGCATTGCGCGTCGTGGTGATCGGTGTTCAGGCATACGTAACAGATGGCTTAACTATCTCAGTCGATGAAGATTTACAACCTCATCAACTGATTTACCATTGATCCGAATACCCTGCGTCTAACCTCATTATTACTTACTCGGTGATCCCAGCAGATTTTAAATTAATTGTAGGTCACGAGATACGTTTTCGTAATCATCCAACTACCAACTTTGTTTATCACGTCTAAATACAAACACAGAATGTTAGCGAAACTGAAAGATCTACAGTATTCACGGGATAGAAAGTCGCTTAGACAATTATAGACAATGTAGAATCTGACAGAGATGCTTATGTGTCTAAGTGGTCCCATAAACATCAGCACTGCGAAAGAACGAATTAAAAAAGTGGGAAGAACAGAATTTGAAATAATATTCATTAACTTATGGTACAAACAATTAGAGAATGGCATCCATGTGGATGATTAGAGAGCATATACGAGTCATCGAAGATGATTGATCGGTCGTTCATATGCCGTTTTGTCGATTCACGTCTGTCATCCACACTATTGTTTTTCAAACGATGGAGTCAAGTTTACAAGTTAGGATGATTTTAATGTTGATAAACCGATGGAGGTAGTGAATACGTTTACTAATCACTTGAGAAAAATTAATACTTCCTAACATTTCGGTTTTTTTGTGATCAGTTGTTCATTTATACCATCTCCATTTTGATTAACTAGTAACTGTGTAAATTTTCTCCATTTCAATTTGAAAATCACTCAAGGTTGTCAGCATAATTTCTTCAGATGACCCAGATTTGGGTTTTCTTACTAGTTGGCAGTCTCACCAGTATGATGTAACTGCAATAATCTTGAGGGAGTTAACCATATTTGTCGGATTTAGATTGTAATCTCACTGATAAAGTTTGATCAATACTATAGACTGTAAAACATGATAATGGTTACTATCAATCAGTAATTAAAAAATAATCATAATAAATCATAATTAAGAATGTTATGCAATCGGTAGCAAACATACATACCTTACTCCAAGTGTTTGTTTTATTTTGTAAATGCATAGCTGGTTGGAGATTATTTATATCTCTTTTATTTACCAGACGAGGTTTTCCTCTCAAATATAATCTTGTTGAATGTTGTTGTACACTTGAAGGAATAACTGACGGCTCTGGTGATTTTTTATGATAAATATTAAACTGTAAGCGGAAAGCGATAAGGGAAAGAGACGAAAAAAACATTAAACAGTAAATTATTAGAAACGAAAAGGGAAGAAAGATCTCCCGGTCTCATGTTTAATGTCACGGAACGATCTTAGTTAAAAAAAACCACTGAGAACTAGGAATAACTGGGTGATTGTTTCGTCACATTATTGGACTCCTCAGTGGTGGGCATCTGCAAACCTGCCATACAGACCTTAGATTAATACCGTATTTATTTGCTCAAAATATCAAAGTAGGTTTATTTTGATTGTAAAAGAAAAGTGACAATTGTTTTAAGACCCATTAAGAAGTATCATTTTAAACAAGCGAATGAAATATGAAGAATCGTGTTTTGTAGTTGATTGAATCACGTTATCATATTTGGCAACAGAACGTACTAAAAAAAGCAGGTAGACAAAAACAAAAATACCAGCAGGTTGCGTTTACATTATTGTAATTAGTTAATTTTTTGTGTGAAGTTTGATTGATTATCTGAAATTAGTTAGTGCGAAGAGCTGATGAAAATTTGGAAAACACTACCTAATTCATTTCTGTTTGGGGAGTTTCTTAATGGGCAGAAAATGCGACTGAACAATAGAATCAACCTAGAATGTCTATGCATTTCTCCGAACAATAAATTTTAACAAAACAACAATTCAGTGCTGATTGTCTCTCGGTGATTTTCTAATTACTATGAATTTTTGATCGTATGTTATGCAGAAGCATTACTCGCGTTCCACGAGACGATGTTGAGGTTAGCTGAAGTGATAAACAGGTTAATGAGACAGTGAATTTTCATCGGCTAAGGTGATTGCGGTACCTAGAGGAGTAATGCATGTTAGTGTTGAAATCGGTTGACAGGAAACGAGGCGCGGTGCAACCAAAATGCGACATCAGTCCACGAAGTCATTGTCTGTTGATCTTAGCCATGTTCGTAATTGCAAACTTGCTGATTGAAGTTAACAGCTGTTAGAAATCTTAGTTGACATGGCTGAGAATAGTTCACAGTGGTGTAAATACACTTACTCTTTATTTTACAGTCAATCCTCATTTCATGTATCCCTTCATACATACTCGATTGATAGGTTCAAATTAATTAAGTATTGGGTATTCATAATAAAAATAACGATATTTTTTCTACTTATTGAGATATTAAATTGTTATTATTTTTATTGTCATATTTCCAAGGTCTTTCTTTTTATCACTGCTTCTACATTATTTTGATCTCTTTTGTTATTTTGATCTTGTTGTCCTAATTAGGCTGGGGTGACTTAGCTAATGCATTTATATATTAGGCTCTATGCCTATCCATATATATGTGATTCAAATTATCACCTAAATTAGACAGCTTTCAAAAGACTTCCATCCTAGTAATAAAAAATGTGAAATGTAATTTTAAATGTCCTATAAAGATTTGTCACACTGAAGATTTATCAAACTTCATCCCATTGCAAAAACAGGTGGCTATCAGGACTCAGTAGTTAAGTGGATAACGCGGTGGCATTTGAAGCAAACGGCACTGGGTTCGAGTCTCAGAGTACAGGCAACTGACGAGTCCCAAATGGAACGAAACTCACGTCCTGGATTCCACTGCTAATCACTGTCCATCTTTGCATATAAATTTAAAGTTTCGGAAAATCGGGATAGGAGATTATCTGATACAATGCTTAAAAACCTGTATATATTACAGTAACTGATCAGCAGTTACCATTATTCAGAGCCTTAAGATTTTCTCTACAGTGTTTCTTTTTCTGAACTGCACGATTTATTCGTAAGGTTATCACTGTTTTCCTAGCAAAACAAACTTATGAAAAATTTCTCTACCGATGACTAGTAGTCTAAACTACTGGTCTAAGCTATAATTGACATTTAGTTAGAATTGTCCTACCTCTATCTAATCAGATAATTTAATAATTTATTTCATTAATCTGACTTTCAAATTAATACTAGATGATTATTTACCTAACTGTTTGCTAGAACAAGTTTATTTCAACGCTTTTGTATCGGTTCATGTTAGCACACCACAAAGAGATGGAATAAGCAAAAAAACAGTTGTCAGAATAGTAGAAGTACTAACAGTTTTATCAGTTGTAGTAGTAGTATAAAAGATTAGGCGTATATAACATGCCTTAAGAAGAATGAATTCTCAGTGTAAAAAGTAAATGAATTTATATAATTGTGACTTATTCTAAAGCATATCATCCATCATCTGTGAACAGTGGTTACCATGATTGCGCAAAACACAACTAGATAGTTTGCACCCACCTAGACAACTCATTTCAATAGTTAAGGTCTGATATCAATTTAAATGAACTAGGTTACATAAATTGTTTATCTATCAACAATTTACTGGTGGTGGGGGGAGATAAAACATCAATAACAGCTGAACAAATTACAACAAAAGTAGATCAAATTAAATCATATTAAATAAAGCTATGGATCTAATCAACTATGCACATGATTTGAATATGGTCCGATCAGAACAGGAGAAAAATAAAGGCAAACAAACTTATTTAGGTACATGTTACTTAATGTATATACACTTCAGTATTGTTGTATACAATCTGATTAACATTATTTTACAAAAGAATTAAATATTAAGCGTAAATAACTTAATTATTAACATAAATTGTTTATCTCATGTGATTTGAATGTAACACATGTTTTTCTTGAATAAGTTTACAGATAACTTCTACCTTTCATAAAGTTGTCATAAAAACGAGATATCTAGTTGAAAAGTAAATATATCTTACTTAATTTCTTACTTATGCCTATTACTCTCAGTGGTGCATAGGCAGTCGACTAGTATTCTCCTCCTGGAGCCTCTCTGGGGCTACTGCCGGTCCTAAGCCCGGATAAAGCAAGAGGGTTGGGCATGGGGTTAGCGACCACATCCCGTAGAAGACTAACTTGCTAAAAAAAACGCTAACCAGAAAAAATAATTCAAACTATTTAAACACTTCTCATCTATCTAGTAAATCTGGCAGTTAGTAACTTTTATCCATTTCCTAGTTCTCTAGACATGTTTTACACTTGAAATTTGAACGGGTGAACAAAAGACGGATAGTATGGAAGGAAACATTAATTCTAAGGTCAGTTTGCACATAGAAAGGAAAATATCTATGGGTTCACATTTGAGTTAGATATTCTAGAAATTTTCTGAAAAACATGTAAAAAAATCAGTCATTCTGAAATCAATGATAACATTTGAGAGCTTGTCTCTTAACGTTATTGATAAACCTAAATTGTACTAGATAGAAAGTAATGATCTTAATATTGATAGCAAAACGAGTAATTCCGAGGGATATTAGCTATAGGAACATCAATTGAAGTAAACTAACATGTCAAAAAATCTTTTTCTTCACAGAGAATTAATTAGTTACTGAGAAGTTTAGTCTATAGGTGCATAGTTCTAATTAGAATATTTCCTAGAAAATGCTTGTCTTCTTACAAAACACCGGAAAAGTTTCTATCCATGTTATAACCGATTATTCTCGCCAGGTCACATTCTTTATTTATGCGATTGAGTAATTAAGAACAACAAATTGATAACTCTGATATTGTTGAGATAATTAGAAACTGGCTAGTCGTAAATTTAGGCTTTCTTCTCTCCGCCTTCCCCTTTCTTCTGTTGGTTGACCGGAATATGAAGACCTCGACATCTGAGAGAAAGTACACAATACAGTGAACAGCTCAGAACCAATTAGACGATTTGGACTTCGCAGATAACCTAGCCCTCTTATCGCATACACACGAACAAATGCAGATGAAGTCAACTAGTATAGCAGCAGTCTCTGCATCAGTAGGCCTCAACATACATTAAGGAATAGCAAGATCTTCAAATACAACACGGAGAACACCAACCTAATCACACTTGATGGAGAAACTATGAAAGATGTGGAATCCTTCACGTACTTGTGAAGCATCATCGATGAACAAGGAGGATCGGAGGCAGACGTAAAGGCGAGGATTGGCAAAGCAAGGGTTGCATTCTTACAATTGAAGAACATATGGAACTCAAAACAACTGTCAACTATTATTGAAGTCAGAATCTTCAATACAAATATCATGACAGTCCTACTGTACGGAGCAGAAACGAGGAGAACTAATACAACCATCATGAAGAAGGTACAAGTATTTATAAAAAAATCGTCTACGCAAGATACTCAATGTTCGTTGACCAGATACTATCAGCAACAGCCTACTGTGAGAGAGAACAAATCAGATTCCAGCTGAAGAAGAAATTAAGAAAAGACGGTGCGAATGGATAGGACATACATTACAGAGATCACCAAGCTGTATCACGAGGGAAGCCCTAACTTGGAATTTTGAAGGGAAGCGGAAAAGAGGAAAGCCAAAGAATACATTAAGCTGGGAAATAGAAGTAGACATGAAAAGGATATATAACAACTGGAAAGCATTGTCCAGGACAGGGTTGGATGGAGAGTGCTGGTGGGAGACCTATGCTCCTCTAGAAGGAGTAACACGCGTAAGTAAGTAGTCGTAAATTTTATCGAAGTACATAACACTTCATAATACAAACTGAATACATAAAGATAAAATGAGAAAATAAAATTAACTTTGAAATTATTAAGAAAACGGTTCAGTAGTATCTGTAACAAACAATGAGAGTAGAAATAAATCCATTAACCGAACTATAATTAAACACTCAAAATCTTTTCATGTTTCAAATAGAAAGACAAAATGAAAATAAAATCCTCTTTTACAAAAGCATGTTTCTTTTTTGAAATATTTACGTTGCTTGAATTCAGAAATTAATAGATCTAGACTATCTATTTAAGGTACAAACAATCATTGTAACCAATGATTGAAGATGATAGGTGATATATTTACAAATAGGTCATAATAATGCAGACCCATCTAGTCATTGCCTTTACTTAGATTGTGAATTTTAACATTATTTAATACCTTTTGCTTCATAAATTCATCCATTCTTCCTGAATCATATAGCCTATGATTAATCTTTTCTATTACCACTGATAATACTGCTAGTAATAGTACTACCCTGACATTTATTTTGATTATTTCATCTCTTTGTACCGATGTAGTATGATTAAATAGATGTCAGTTTCTACGTTGCTTGTGACTTACTGATTGGCTTTTAATGATAACTGGGATAATTTAATAGATGTCTTTACATTAGCTTACATTCACATGATGATTACTATATTTTAGCTAGCGCCTACTAGTAAGATTCAGAAAGTACATTTTATTTTATTTAAGAACTATCACGTAAATAGAGGTAATTTCATTCAAATAATTCATATACTGATTGATAGTAAAAACCTACAATCAGGATGACAAAACTATTATACCAAAAACTAATATAACATACCCATTTATTAAATATTAACTAATATGACAGTATACAAGTATATAAAGCACTAGTATTTGAAGTGATTCAAACAGAGTTTAAATGTCAATGTGAACACTAAGTTGATGAGCTTTTAACAGAAAGAAATTTATGTTCTGAATTTTATCGTTATCCAATATACAATAAATCAGCTTAATAGGAATATAATTGGAAATAACACATAAACGGATATTTAGTTTACTCTCAATAGAAAATAAACTCTAAATTTATAAGCAAAGATGGATAGTGGTTAGCAGTGGAATCCAGTTTGATGCGCGTTTCGTCCTATTTGAGACTCGTCAGGTGGATGTACCTGCATTCCAGAGTTGATGTTCACTCCGGAACTCGAACCCAGTACCGTTCGTTTTAAACGCCATCGCGTTATATTGAATATTTCCATCTTTGCTTATAATGCTTGTGAATTAAGGCAATATCGAAGCAATACACACAGTAAGCATATATGCCAATAAGAGAGAGACTGATCAATTACAGTCCTAAACATCAATGGGAAGATTCAAGTAAACAATACCAATAATTAGATCGACTCATGACTTCAATGAGAATTTATTCCATTGAACAAGTCTACTGTAAATATTTTCTACGTACTAAACAGAGTACAAACAACATTAATAACCATTTTATACTTGTGATAAAGTGATATAAATAACAAGTCTTCTATCAAGAATATATTCATCGAAAGATTTATCTTTGGTATAAGTTGAAGTTAGGAAAACAGAAATAAGATTATTAATTTTAGTGTTTGAATGAAGAACTTTTTTTTCGATAAATTCTCTTCAGGTTCTACAATTCATATATCCAAATTAAGAATCTCAAAAATGTCAAGGTTAAGGGTAAAGTACATTTAATAATTGAATTCTTGAGTCAATTGAAGCTAGACCACCATGGAAAACCTAGTACAGGACTCCTCAGCAGTGCACCACCATTGTCTTAAGTGAGTTATTATCTCACAACAGACCCGGTCGAACTTCACTGATCATGGCTTCTCAATAGGACTCCAGGAAATAACTCTTGGAGACAGTCACTACTAAGCACATGATAATTATAATCAGAGAGGGGTGGCGGTGGATGGTGGCGCAATTTTCTGGATTGGTTGAACTTAGACACTAACATTGATGGATGCAAGCTCATTGGTTTAATGTTAAGCGTTCGCGCGCGAGATTGATATGTCCAGTGTGTTCGAGTTCCGCGGGAAGGGATCATGTGAGCGCACTGCTGAGGACTACCATACTAGAACGAAACGGCCGTCCAGTGCTTCCATGTTTTCCATGTTAGTCTAACTTCAATCGACTCATGAATTCAATTGGTAAAGTACATAGCTTAAAGCATGTGGATTTAGGATTGTCAAACAAAGTAGAATAAAATTGTTAATATTGATAAGACTCATATAGAATGTTAACTTGAATCTGCATATATGTTAAGTGAAATTCTAAGATCTATGATCAGAGTAAATATGGGTCAGATAGGGTGAGAGAAATAGTAGTGCAATTACGAATTCGACCAAATGTTTAGTGGAAAATTATTTCGCGAGTAAGAAAATGTAAATTCATAGAACTTCGACCAATATAACTTGCTCCACAGGAGCAGTCGAAATGATAAATACAAAATGAGGTGGTTATTCTAGGTAATTCATCTTTTGGCCTCGGTGTCACTATTAGGAAGGTAGAATTTACATTTTCGTGCTCGCGAACACTTCAGCGTGGCTAAGCAAAGGTTTGGTGAAGAAGGTGAACAGCTCGATATTACCCCATTTACTACAAGCTGGTCATAGTGCCACTATAAAGCAATCCTTTTCAATTATTTATACGGTCAGTAATTTTTTGCTAAAGCTTGTCAGACTTAAAGTCCTTCAAACGGCTGAAGCGGTAGCCATCCAGGTGAAGAAACAGGAGCTCTGTGTACTAAAGAAATATATTTAAGCGCTTCTTCTCCACCGGCCAACCTTAAGGCCAATTAATCAATAGTAATATTAGCTGTTGAGTGACCTAATTTTTCCAATATACTTACAACCTTTTGTAATCAAATTTCATTGTCTCTGTTACCTTTATTCACAGAGTCATTCATTGTAGAATGACACATGCCTGTTAATGTAACTAGTAATACGTTAAATAACTAATTCTAAGGGAAAAACTCTATCATAATATCATAAGGGGTTTTTGTGGATATTATAGTAATTTGAATAGTTGAGATTATGAGTCAATTGAAGCTAGACCACCATGGAAAACCTGGAAACATTGTACAGCCGTTTCGTTCTAGTATGGGACTCCTCAACACTGCGCATCCACGATCCCGCCTCGCGAGATTCAAACCCATAATCTATCGATCTCGCGCGCGAACGCTTAACCTCTAGACCACTGAGCCAGCAGGCATCCAAAGGTGTTGATGTCTAATTTTCAACTAATCCGCAAAATTAATTAATACATCGATTATTGTCTTCAGTGAGTTACTATCTCACAACAGACCCGGTTCAACTCCATAATAGTTAGTTATATCTAAATTTTGAAACAAATAACTGTATAAATCTAAAACTATGTAAATGAATGTAATAATAAACATATAAGAATATCTTACTTCAGATTTTATAGTATTGCTATTAATTTTCCTCATTATGAATTGATCCTTTTCATAGATTTGAATCATAGCTTCACATGATACATTAAAACAACGTCTAGTTAAATTAGTTTGTTCATCTTTACATAACCATTGAATATGTTTCAATGCATTCATGTAACTTAATACACCTGAATTACCATGAATAAGAAATCCATTTGAACGTTGATATACTTTTATATCATTTTTGATATATTTAGGATTTAACAAAATATATTCTGAAATAGACAGAATATTGTCTACAGTATTGAATGGATCAATTTTGCATAAATTAATTGTACATGATGAAATTGTTTGCTCGAATTCTGAAGCTAAATATTAAAAAAATAATGTGAAATTTTGTTTGAATAATACAATTTAAATAAATAGCGCACAATTTAAATTGAATGCTTTTAAAGAAGTTGACATCAATCTATACCAAAAAAAAATTGTTAATAAAATAATAATCAAAGGAGGGTTTTTGTAGATATTATAGTAATTTAATAGTTGAATTCATGTGTCAATTGAAGCTAGACCACCATGGAAAACCTGGAAGCACTGGATGGCTGTATCGTCTTACAGTGAGACTCCTCAGCAGTGCGTATCCTGTAGTTCATATTAGAGGCCGTGACCAGTGGAGTTCAACCAAGTCTGTTGCGAGATAGTAACTTACTGATAACGGTGGCGAAACTTTGTCGATTGTTTGTAGTTGGATATTAACACCGTCTTGCTCAGTGGTCTAGAGGTTAAGCGCTCGCACGTAAGACTGTTAGGTCCTGGGTTCGAATCCCGCGGGGCGGGATCGTGGGTGTACGTTGCTGAGGAGTTCCACACTACAACAAAACGGCCGTCCAGTGCTTCTAGGTTTTTCATGGTGGTCTGGCTTTAATTGAATCATGAATTCAACTATTGAATCATTATAATAAAATAGTAAAACACAGGCATAAATTTAGAAAAGTATGCATTATCAAGGACACATCTTTTAACAGATTTTGGCATAAAGAAAAGAAAACAATATTTTTCAATTCATTTACATAAATGAAAATTTATAAAACCTTATGTGTGATTACAGGCGAAGAGCTATATATATAGTGTTAACAGAATTTCTATACAACTTACATTCTGTTTGACTTTACATTTGGGTCATAAAAAGACTTCATTTGTATTAAAACATCATATGTATAGTGTGAAGTTTGAGTTTAGTCTATAATATAGACTTCAACAAAACATGAGAATATGAAAAATAACAAACATACAATTTGAATGTTAAAAATGAAGTCATAACAGGATTTCAACAATTTCTATGATTTTATTTATAAGTATTCGTATATTCCAGTTATTTTTGTTAAGAACTTCAACTGATCCAGTTTCTATTGACATTTGCCAGTCTCAAAAGAAGCGCCTCTATATTGTCATTTATTTACATGTTTTTATCGGTTGGATAATACCTCGCATTAGAATCCAGGATGTATGTTTCTTCCTAATTGAGATTTCTTAACTGAATGTACATGGATCCAAGTGTTGATATTCCGACTGGGAATAATACTCAATGACTTTTGTGCAAATGTCAACGCCTTATCAACTGAGCTACTGAATTCAGATGGATAGATATATCAACAACATGAAAATGCGAGCTCCTACAAATAAAATACTGAACAAGTTAATGAATATATAGACTAAGTAGCCTAGTGCATAATGTGTTGAGTGTTTAAAGTAAGAAATAGTGAAATAGAGTCCTAATGTAGAACATCAAACGATAATGGTAGGTACATTTGTGCATCGGTTCAAGTTGCCGTACCACATAAGAATTGTCAAATGGAGTTATCAAGTCTAATTGCAGATTAGTATAAGTAGCAACGATAGGTATTTAGTAGTAACCATTAGGGCATAAATGAATTGATTTAAGAAAAATGGATGGATTCTTGAAATGAATGGTATAGACATTTTAAGTTATGAACTGAATATGTTTACGTCGTTGTGACTTGTTTTGAATGAGGTTACTGTCTCTGACCCTTCGTTACGATGATTACCAATACTCCACATTGATAGTGTTTATTCACTGAGTAGGTTCAATCCAACTTTCGTTAAATTCATAGATTGATACCATGTTTTGACACGAGTACCAACAACATGAACGATTATGATACCGAAAAATATGCTAATAATAATCCGAATAGGTGTTATACTCATCACAAGATCTGGAAGTCCTGGACTGAATTACCTGTTAGGTGGTAACTATACGCCTTCGATTCATATCATGCAGCTGTTCAGTGTACCTTCGATTTTCAGCAGTTCTCTCCACTTTTATTTATTTATTTAAACACATAAACATTGGTACAAGGAGGTGCCAAATAGATATGCGCCATATAAGTCATTCGATTTGTGTGAGGGCTGAGATACTGGCCGGGTGCTCAGACCAAAGCAGATGGTTTTCTTAGAAGACCACACGCAGAGCCTTCGACCCAAAAGTCTAGTCCACAAAGCAGTGGGGCAACGTCAGGAAATGCAGTCCCATGGTAGCCGGTGACCGACGATTGGTTCATACACCATTTCTTCCCTCAGAATACTGGAGCCCACGTGCACCATTGGTTTGGAATCAGGGTTTTTCAACTCCCCTAGGTGGACTCTCTGTGTCCACCAATCCGGTTAATGGGCTAGACATTCGCTTTTCGTCCTCTGAATTTCGTAAACAACAGTAATGTCGCGAGAAGGCAGTGCGTAGGACTTCCCTAGTAGTGGTTATATATGCACGTGACCATGCGAGAGCATTTGGAGAGGGAGAAAGTATTCTCTCCACTCTCAGCCATACCAGGGAATTTTGGAGCAGATATCAGTTCAAGAAAACGAATAATTTACGTAAATTACGCATAAAGCATAGTTATGATCTGGCGACAGATTCCCATTAAGTTTCTCTCTCTATCATGATTAATTAGTAAGAACATACAAAAGTAATTTACATAAACCATTTAGATTAATTTTCTGTCTCATATTTATTGATTAATGACCAAAATGAGAACTTTGATGAATGTTAGTTTTATGAATGAATTGTTATTACAGATTCCTGTTTTCATTTTTTGTACGATTTGTTTTTCTTAGCATATTAAAAATACATAGATTCCTTTTATCACTGAATCATAGTTTGTATGTAAACAAGAATAATGTTGAACTTATAATTGGACATTCCAATTGGCTCTCTCGATGTAGATATGTATGTATATATGGATTAACTAACGGTTATACTTATAGCGAATGCATTTTTCCTTATTACTACGGTGATATACAAATATATTGGTTTATCAATTAATTGATTTCTACAATACATATTGACAGGATGATTATTTATTTTTCTAGGAAAAGGGAGTTGGATATGTTGTTTTTCACTTATCTATAATCATGTAATTGTTTGAAAAAGCTTGTTTTCAATAAGATAAATAATTTGAATTATTTACTAACATGAAAACTGTTTTTGTTTTTGATTGAGATCATGAACCAAATGATGTTAGACCACCACTGAAAACCAGGAAGCACTGGATAGCTGTTTCGTTTCACATCAATCGGTTCATGATCTCAATTAAAAAAACTTAATAATCTTCATACTGATGCAAACTGTTTTATTGAAAGATTTATATTAAATGAGAAATTATTAAAATGTAATGAAGTAATGGAAAATTAAAATTAAACAAATATCTTAATAATTGTGTTTTAATAAGTTCAGTCAAATGATCCAGTGCTCTATAACTACTAAAACTACTATTTCGACTTGTTTTATTTTCATCCTGGTTATTTTCTGTTAATTTGATGATGTACCGTTTCACAAATTGAGATGTTGCATAATGATACCGAGATAAACTGTGTGTGAGAATCATCTTTCGTTAATTAACGTATAATTCCCATTTAAGTATTAAAAAACCTAAAGTTCAGCGAAGGGATATATTTTCAAAGAATTTATTATCAAGATCTACTCGGTTTAAAGTGGTTTATTGATGTCTCTTAAACAGTCCTACAAACAGCGGTAACTCGCTGTTTACGTCATTCTACCTTGAAACAATTGTTCATTCAGAGCGCGCCTAATTGGGTCATTGGAACTCTGAGTAGGATTTTACATTTAGGGGTTGTGGAGATTTCTGAATTCCATTGAAATTATGAACTGATCCAAGTTAGACCACAATTGAAAACCTGGAAGCACTGTAATGACGTTTCGCGTGGACGCCTAACCTCATAACCACTGATTCGACATCTAACCGTGTTACTGCCTAACCTTAGTCAGTCCACAACATTGCATAAACATCTTCCACTGCCTTCGGTGGGTAGTTGCCTCACACTGAACACAGATTGTCCTACACAACAAAACAGTCTCTCAAAGCCACTAAATACGCAAACCAGTACTTGATTACTGAATTCTGGTTAGTAAAATTAGATATCAAAGTAATTACTTCAAAAGGTGTACACGTTAATAGTAGTGGAGTTATTGATGCATTAAACAGTGGTAAATATAAACAGGACACCACTTTAATGTTCTCATTCTTAGCAGTTAGTAATTTCTCGTTGTTGACAGTCATGAATAAATCTAATCAGAATCTATTCATATACGGGAACCTTGAATCAATTGTTCGATGTAATGACTGCAGTCACAAGTTAATTATATGTTTTAGATAGTGTTTAATAATGGCGTCTAAGAAGTGAGTTTCTTCCTCTTTGGGGCTTAATCGCTGGATGCACCTCCTTCCCCAAAGTGATTTTCTTAATGATATTCAATTCTAACTATCGTTCCAAAAAGACCAACAAAAGGTATTTAATCGTGTTGAAATATTTAGCACAAAGTACGTCGAAAGAAATAATCTATCATACAAAAAGTCCTCAAATAAGATACTCTTTTTTTCTTACATGTATTATTAAAATTCAACAGTTCCAATGGGGTCTTCCACATGATTGTTATGTATGGAAATATATAGACTCCGGTAGATAAACTAGCTAATGTGACATTTCTCAATGTGAATGTCTTGTTCGTATGTTCGGATTGTTCTGCATTAAACAGTACTAGTGAATTGATTGGTGATGATGTTGATATTTTATCGAATGACTGATCTATCGATTGGTTTCGATGAGTAGAAGCTGGTAGCTTAATGGTAGACAGTCTTTCAAGAGTTTCTTTTTCATGTTTCTGTGCATACCCATGAAATTGTTGTTTTTCTGTCGGTTGATGAACATTCGATTGTTGATAATTGTGACTTGGTTGATTATGACTATGGTACTGCCTATGAAGATATCGATCCGTACGAATATTTGAATTAAAGGTATCAAGTGAAATTAATGTTTGTTTAGTTGGAGGTAATGGACTAATTAGAATTACTTGATTAAATGTTGAGGGTATTTCACAATCTGTTGCATACCTATGAATAGATTGAAACAAAATAGCATAAAATAACACTAATAACTGCCTAAATAAGTAATATAGTTATTTCAAATTCCGAAACGGTATCACTAAAACTTTCCCTTAAAGTTCGGATATATTCAAAATAGAATTATTTAATCAACATCTTCGGTGAATTCCACAAGTCAACATATTTATGTTCGCGTTGTAATCTGATTAATCAAGCAGACAAATTACTTCTTATTGGTACCAACACAATAGTCTAAAAATAGTATATTAAGCAACACCTGAAGATCTATGCTTAGGTCGCAAGTAAGGATTACTAGGTATTTCCATATAGTAGGCTGAAGCGGTGGCTGTGAGCCTCTTGATTTTCAATAGTCGTTCATAACTAAATTCAGTCCTTAGTCAAATGTAGAAGTAGGAAAACCTTCTCAAATCTTTCATGCTAATAAGTATTCCTTTATCTCATCTTTATTCTTCTTTTGATCGATATTTTTTTGTTTGCTACTGTGCAACTTGAAATCACTTACGAGTATCACTCAACCTTTCTAAAGATAACTGACTGTTTCATAGATAGTGTGTTACCATCCAATAATTTAAGTAGGAAAATAAATAATTACGCTACAATTCACCTTGACGAAATGAAAATCCGTTAAAGGACACTTTATACCTGCTTCTTACCAATGAGAAAGATCATCCAAACTACAAGAAGTCAAAGTCTACTAGAACTCATAAATTAGCAAACAAAAACATATTTTCAATCCAACAATAAAACACTACATTGGACAAAGTGGATGCCTTCTACGTAAGGACATTAAATACTTACCAAGCCCTATAGGGTGTCTTCGCTCACATTAATCCGTGTGAACAACTAGGGATACACGCCTGTCTGGAAAAATGTTGAAAGTTTTGACAAAGGGGATATTAAGATGGTCGGATAATTTTTAGAAGCGTGGTAATAACCTCAGCTAGCAGTCAATCAGTATATCCGAATCGACCCAATTATTCAAGTAATAGCAAAAATCATCGACAAATATATAAAACAGGGGTCAAGTCAATGGAGGAAGCAATCAAAATTACTTTACAGATAACGAAAAGGTAAAGGTCAACAATCATTGCTAAAGAATAAGGCCAACAATGCAAGCTGCCATTCATATACGGAGTTCGAATATCTCGATTCTTTTAAATCATAAACCGATAGAAGTTATACAATCAATGAAACCTGAAAGCACTGGACGAACGTTTCTTTCTGGTATGGAACTCATTATAAGTGCGTATAAACGATCCCGTACGAGGGAACCGAACACATGACCTGCGATCTCCTGTGCAAACGTCTAGCTTCTAAACTACTGAGCTACCGTTCGACGGTGTAGGAGATGACTGGTTGAAGTTAGACAAGTACACTCACAGGATCCATCGAAGACAATAAAAAATGCTTGCGTAATATCCTGAACTAATCGAATTTAGACACGTACACCGTTAGATGATTGTTCAGTGGTTTAGAGGTTAAATGTTGTATGAAAGACTGACTTCCTGAATACGTTTTCCCGTGGCGGGGTTACAGATGAGTGCTTTTGAGGAGTGCCACACAAGGACGAAATTTCTATCCAGTGTTTCTCTAACTTAGGTCAATTCGTGATTTGAGTGGAATCTAACAACTTCCATAACAGCATAATTATGACTGTCTCAATTCAACTTAACGTTTATGCCGATGATATTGTTCAGAAGAACAATCAAAGTTTTACGATTAAACCAATTCTCTGAGAGAACGAAAGTCCACCAAAAATTAAAGAATACTATATATCCCGATGTCTTTATAAATTACTTACGCAAACAAAGTATTTAATTGTATAGCCACTGGTTCCGGTCGATATCGTGGTTTATATTCTAATCTTGGATTATAAAATGTCACATTTCTTAGAATTTTAGATAATTCATTTAAACTTTTAGCTTGAATAATGATACTATTCAAATGAGAATTACGAATATTTGTTGTTTCGAAACGATTAGTGTTTGAACTGAATGATGTTGGATCGTTGATAATTAGACGTGGTTCACAATTGGTCAGACAAAGTATTTCTTCATCCGATTGAACATATCCATTTGTAAACGTTAAACCAGCAAGATAACCCTTGTTTATGTATTTTCAATGGTGAAAATAAGACAGTATGTGCATCAATGGCATTCAGTAATAATAATAATAATAATAATAATAATAATAATAATAATAATAATAATAATAATAATATTAATAATAATATGCGTAACTACGTTGATCATCGTGTAAGTAGGACCATAATTTCACTGATTAACAAGTGATCTACAATAATCTTTTTTACTAGAAATAGCTTATTTTTGAATGAGTATTATCTTTTTACCAGAAAACTTCCGAAGGTATTCTGCTTTCGCTTCATTTGTTTCATCGAAGGGTTGTGTATTGTCAAGATGTTTTAAACCGGAATAGAATAATAATCTGTTGTCTGTTAATTTTCAGTAGTTATCAGGCTAATTTAGTGTATAGTACACATGACCTTTATATTATGTAAAATCTATAAAGACATCTCTATACAGTAACTCATTCATTAATGCAACACTCATGATGATCTAATAGAACTTTGTCGGGTGAACTAAGATTAAAGAGGAAATTGTACAGCTCAATCCATCAGAATATCATATTAACAAGGAATTTCCCTTGGAAAAACAACATTTTAAGTGTTATTGTCCTTCTATAATCAAAAAGAAGGATTATATAATGTTGTTACTGTGATCAACGTCTCTTCCTTTGCCCCAAAAGTTTACGATGATGACGATAGAGTGAAAAATCTTATGGCGCTATCCACGCTTTTTCACCAGTTTTTGTACATAAGTAACCAGTGCTAACGAATTTAGTTTACAAAATAATGATTTTGAAAGTCCATTAATTTCCCGTGAATGATTTCAACATACCTTTATTCCTTAACCCTTTATTTCAGACTGTTAGAGAACATCAGCGTTTCATTTTTTTAAGAAAACGAACAACCACTACAGAATACGTCGAGCCAAACACACATAGTATTTGTTCCACTAAACATCTACCTATTTCTTTCTTTTCAACATACTTGATTATCAAATTTTCGGATCGAGTTCCACAATGTGAATATTTTTCCTCACTACATTAATTGGATTTGTAGGAAATCGAGTTGACGTCTGATTATGCCAGTTTCTACGTTGTTGATCATTTACTGACTCCATTAGGCAATGAAAATGAACTAGTAGGTTTAGAAAAACAATAATGATGACAAATAGAAGACTTACGACAAAATGTTGAGCAAATTGAGTACTACGTCCATGCCAACACGCGCCAACTGAAGTACGAACAAATTCATGATTTTTGACAGATAAATGTACCATAGGCATATTTTCAGCAATTTGCACCAGTTCAGGATTATTTGGTACTAATCGTCCATCCAAATACAATTGTAACTACATAAACAACAGAGAAGATATTATGGCAATGATAATGACTAATAGTTTTGTCATTTCTCAAAAGCATATAAATATCAGTCAGTCAACTGCAACGTACGACCAGGCATATATATGCATTGATCGAAGTTGCCATACCTCATTAGAACAACAAGATAAACACCAAATTCATTGAAACAGTCACTTCAATGGTGGTAATATATGAACGAAAGATTGTGTATAACGATATAGTACACAAAGAAAGAATTAGAAAGAAAGGCATAAAAAATATTAATCCCACAGTTTAAGGGAAGACAAAGAGTGCATACACTGACTCCATTCTGATCGATTCTGAGCCATGTCATACACAATCTCCAACCATTGGTTGCAATAGCCACAAGGACCGCAACCAAGTAGTCTGCACCTACCAACACGGCTCAGACCAGAAGTTAGTGACCTCAAGGACTGATGCTGTAGCGAACGGAACACAGGTGGGGACAATGGAATACATTAAACAACAAATCACAGAACTAGTTACTGAAATCCAACAACCATATATTAAATCATTAATTTGCAAATTGTTCACCAATTGTCTCAAATGACTCAGATTCTCTTTGTTCTTGCATTTCCGTACAAATTGTATTCTTTCTCCATTCTTTATTGTTCGATCTTCTCGTCTCTCTGCTGCCAGACATTCTGTTCAGTATTCACGTCATATACTACTTATGTTTACATAAGTAGCACACTTCACAATGCTATATATATATATATATATATATATATATATATATATGATAGACTAACTCTACAGTTTTTTAGGAATGGTGATTTAGTGTTAGCAGTTAAGCTAATCAAAACATTATCTAACATCTAAAAGTAGGAAGTGATCTGAATGGTCTTGATTGATGATAGTCTCAGTCTATGTCGAATGATCAAGAAGCCTTTGTGATAGATACGGAATAGTTATTTCGACTAATGCAGTATCCAAATGTTAGCCTACACAATCAGTCAACACCAAATGTTAGTCAAGGTGATCAAACCTGTAAAAACCAAGCTGTTTTACGACCTATAAGAGGATTTATTGACTAAATTTGTAAATTTTGACAGGTTTTAAAACTGAAACACTTACTGACACCCGAGTGTAATTTTGTTTGCTAAGGTAATCCCTGCATTTCACTCCGTTGATCGGGGAGTTTTTGATAGCTTTTGTAACTTAAGGATGCACCAGAAAGATATGTAAGATTTTTAAAGCCTCTTTGCTAAAACACAATTGTTGTTTTACAGCTTGAGGCAAACTGGATTTAAGCTGGAAATCTCAAGTGTATATTCTTCTCATACACTGAGAATGTGTAAATGATAGCGTCCTGTTAGTCAACAGCTCTATAAAAACCCCGATGTCTGGTGAGGTATTAGCACGGGTTCATAAGGGTCAGCTGGCTTTCGTTGATTTAGATCACATCTATGGAAGAGATGCTCGTTTTTCAACCAAAAGATAAGTATACCTTTCAGTGGCTTGCTATATGTTACTTCATGGCTGTGAAACATAGTTCACAGAAGAAGAGAAATGTAGGCTAAAAGTAATTGACTCCAGATGTATTCGACGTCATGCTTCTATTTTGTGGGACGATCAGGTGAGCAATGCTGAAGTTAGACACAAGGTACTAGTGAAATATTCAAAATTAATTAATAAGGTTGTGGACCATCATCAAAGAAGTTGGCTGGAACTTGTGTTACATATGCTCAACCACCACCTACCTCGACATGTTATGCCTGTTGGTGTAGGAGTAGGTTCACAAAAAACTAGAAATGGACAAAGCACCAAATGACATTAGTTAGTGAAATCTCTGACTGTTAGATGAGCCGTATTTAGAGATGCAAACTACCTAATTAGGGCCACTAAATAACCTCGATTAGTTGGTTGGAGATTTTCGAGTAGCATAGTTCAAACTCAATCACGGTGGCGTAGATACATGCATTCTCCAAAATTAATTCACACTATTTATTAGTTGGATGAATCTCTTCTCTTCGAACCGCATTGTCCTATATCCAGTCAATATTATTCATATCAATATTATCTGAAGTACTTTGAGGTATGTGACAACATGGGCTGATTCACTTTCGTGTCAACCTCTATCCGGATCATAACTCATTGATTGATTTTACATGAATCATCCAATTACTCAGTATCATTTGTTTGGTTACAGTAAATAATTATCGATATCAATATATCAATATAACAACCCATTCTTATCGTTTATTCGTTTAACTCGTGGGTACTCACAATAAATACATATAAATCTATTTAAACAGTGATTGTTTGCAATTACTCTTCTTATATAAACGTTTACAACTAATTTTGTTCCTATGACACATTTTTCATTGCATAATGCAAATTTAATGAATGAGACCTAATGTAATAGAATCTTATTTGTTTAAGGAATACAGAAGAAAGAAAATACACTAAACAATTTGGTAGTTCCGCTAAAATGTTGTAATATATAGCTACGTGATAGCTTGTAAGATTTTACATATGCCTTAAACCAGATGACTTAATTGTGTAGTTAAGATGCATAATTAATTAGTTAAGGTAAATCTAAGCAGATGGAAGACCTTTTACAAGATTTTCGCTGTAGAAAAATAGATAATATAAAGATTTGATGGGTCTACCAGGACATTTTGTAATACAGGACTTCAAAACAGTCCACTCATTTCACATGATAAAATATATAACAAAACTGACACATTCTGATCTACCTATCATCAATAACTACTCATAATATGTTAGTAATTTAATCTGTTACATCCATTGACGATTAAATGAATAGTAACTTGCAGGAATTATTTATGGACTATTATTATATATATTTTTATTGTATAATTATTACGTAACTAGATGAAATGTGTCTATATTCCTTTTATCATAAGCTTTCGTTCGACACATCAACTACTAATATACGATGTACCACTTGATTTATTCCCGTTCTATTAGTTTTAGTCCTCCATACCGAAGCCACATCTGGCTTGATCTTGTAGAATTGTTATTTTTCACTTGATGATGTGATGCAGTCTCATCTGCTTGTACAATAACTATGTATGTCTGAAATATATGGTTCATACATAACAGGGGTTGATATTGTGTTCTGGACTCAACAGACGAGGAAAGAGGAGAACTAATTTATCGAGGACTAGTAGTGTTTTAGAGTTGAATCAAGGCTACCATTGCTAGTTGGAGAGTTATTAGTTAGCTCGTAGACAAGATCATGAAAGTCGACATTCTGACTGGTGGCTTTTTATCACGTGATATAAACAGGGCAAAAAGTCACAACATCATCAAGTTTACCAAAATAAATGTCATAACTAAGAAGAAAATTTTGTATGTCAGACTGAAAGACGAACTATATATATTGTATAGTATATACAGTATATCCGAGTGGTTTTCGTTATGGTCTAATTAATAACAGTTCGGCTAGGACTACTATTGTAAACTAAAAAGTAGTAAATAAATATTTTTACTCATATTTATAGCCTAATCAAACATCGAAGCCACGAGTTTCATCTCCAAGAGGGAGCACCTAACCCATAAAGCATTGTGTCGGTATACAATATTTCTTATTCCCAAACTACAGAGAATCCAAGTTAAAGACAATATAAGCTCCTATAAATGACCCTAGAAGATCAGTATACTACGTATTTACCTAAAATTATTACAAGGAGTAGCAGTACAGTAATGAACAAGTGAATGACCAAAAATATTGATGAAGTTCTGAACAAATTCTTAATGATTATCCACTTATCTATGTTGACACAAGAATCATGTATCATCTTGTGTAATTGGGTTATCGACTTATCAAAAGTAAAATATTTCCTTGTGATAATTTGACACAAAAGTTCCTAGAACGTTTGACGAACTTCTGAAAACAACTATTTTGTTCACCATAAAATAAGTTAGAACTGTTGGATTTTTTCGACGGAAAACGCTAAAGAGATTCATAATCCATTATCAAATACAAATTGATTTATTAACTAAAAATTTCAACAATCATCAATTGTTTAGTAGTAACCAATGTTGTAGTTGTCATTACCACAGTGTTACTCATATTTTATCAGTGTAGTCACTTTGTTAAGTTATTCACCGGTATAAACAAAGCAGTAGAAGTACATGGATTTTCGTTCTATGCCACTGACTACTAGTCATCAGAACATATATGTAAACTTGAGAGCTATGATCCTCTAACATTGGATTTCACTTGTATTACTCAATGATCTAGTCACATACTCTCAACTCTCAACAAATCTACGAAATACATTTATATCAACTTATTATTGAGTAGTAATCAATTATGTGCTTGTGCACTCAGTAGTAGTGTTGATGCATTCACATCAGTCAGTTTGCTGCAAGATTCTAAATAATTCTAGTTGAAGAATACTAATGCACAGAAACCTAGATATTTAGTAGTTACAAGACAACTGTTACAGAGTATCGCTTCACAAATCGATAAATTATTCTTACAATAACCGTTAACTTCCGTTGTATTCGAACTTCTAGTCACGGTGATTTCATGTGTAACCGATTTCGGGATCAAATGTTATAAACCTGTTCAGATGGGAAAATCAACCAAAATGAAAGGAATACTCGAGGAAAAACGAACACAATATACTGACTTCAATATCACTTTCTGACTTGGATACAAGTGTCTTTTGTCCATTTACAAGTGTCGTTTCTGGTGGACGATAGGTCAACGAATAATGGTGCCAATTCGAATCACATACTTCGTCGACATCGAAACGCCATTGAGATGGAAGTAACTGAGACGAATCAGAATATAGGGTGGATTCATTGGTTGGTTCACGACGTATCAATACAACCAGTTTACAATTATGCAGAAACACAGCAAAGTGATGCCGATTCTTTTCTTTAACATAATAATAATAACAATAGTATCAATTAGTCCAATGATATCGTTTTAAATTAAGTGATGGTAAGAGGAAATGAAATTGTATTTGTGCTGGCTAATCAATTGACAAATGTTTGAGCGAACTTCAAAAATTGATTGTGTATTCAAGTAGCTGATTTATGATATTCAGTTTTGAAAGTGAGTTTTTGGAATCTCTAGTTTAAGAGTATACTACAGTTTCACTTAAGCAAATAATTTAAAATGCGACCTGTCTAGCTGATTGTCAGTGTTGTAACAATGATTTTTAAAGAATCTTATGGAGAATAGAACGGGTACAGTTTTACGAATGTAGTAGTCTCTTTCACCAAGAAAAATCAAATTTACAACCACACATTGTAGCGAAATATGTCTTTCACCAATGAAGAAACAGAAGAGTTATACGTGATTCCTCTCAACGATCCGGACAAGTATGAAACAATAGGCCGATGTTTGTTCCATGTTTGATAAACTAGAAAGACAATAGAAGGAATTAAACAACCTAATTTAACATGATCATTAAACGTATTTGTGGAGGTCACCGTTCGTATATTGATTTCATAATTCCTGTTTTATGCAAAATAAAGTCGCATAATGTTTTGATGTACAGTGAACTTCTACAAGCTTATTGTTTGTCTGCAAAAGTAATTGTCATACTGGATGACGAAAGAATATTACAAAATAGCATATACATTTAAATTGTTATCAGCATAATGGAAGAATATAATATAGTGATGATGGAGATTTTCAACCCAAATAGATAATTTTAGTGATATTGTAATCTATTAGCTGGATGATTTAATCGTGTCGCTTTAATTGCTGTCCAAAAAAGCATTCTCATCATCAACTTCTTCTTTGAACAACCGCTAAAGATATGGTGTAATGGAACTATTAAGCTCATAGAATACAACATTAACCTAACAATTCACAAAATATAAAGTAGCAGGTAATTAATAATTCTTCAACTGATCATAATTTGTATTTAAAATTTTATTCGACAAAAAGGAAATATTCACTTCACTTATTATATTATTCACTTGTAATCTGAATTCAAAAGGGAAATAATAATAAAAAAAACAATAACAAAAGACGGGTTTCGTGGATATTGTAGCAATTTAGTAGTTGAATTCATAAGTCAATTAAAGTTACCAGGTTTTCCATGGGGTTCTAGCTCACTAGTGACTAGCTATGTAAGAGTATTCTCGGAGTTCTAGTAAGAAACCGTGACCAGTAGAGATAATCCGTGTCAGGTAGAGACAGGTATCTACCTCAACACAATGGAAGATGGTTGCACAATTTCGTGGATTAGTTGAAGTTAGACAATAACACAATTGGATGACGGCTGGTTCAGTAGTCTAGACATTAAGTGTTCAAGCTCAAGACTGATAGGTCCTGGGTTCGAATCCTGCGAGGCAGGATCGTGGATCCTTACTGCTGAGGAATTCCACACTAGAACGAAACGACCATCCAGTGCTTTCAGACATTCAATGGTTGTCTAAAATCAATCAATTCATGATCTCAATCAATTACTAAAACAATAACTAATAACTACTTACCATATTCATCGGAACTGCATAAAATATTCTCTCGATTATTTAATAAATTCTTTTCATGATATTGTTTATTAAATATTGGTGAATGTTTCATCCAAAAATTTATTGTAAATAATTGATTATCAAATCGTTGTAATTTATGAAATTTATTAAATTTGTTTAAATCAAAATGCATTGAACCATTAAAATAATAAATACCAGATGGATAACCTTTTTTATTGATTTTAGGTAATTCATTTAATCCTTGAATTGTTTCAATAATTGGTAAATTTATATGATTATTTTGATTGAATTTTTGTTGTTCATCAATATCTGGTAATAGATCGACAGTTTTACTTTGAGAAGAATCGACTGAAAAAAAATAACACAACTAGATGGTGAATATATGCAATAATACTAGGCTACACACAATTGATTGATCACTGGGTGGTGACCAATGTCATGCTTGTCTAGTCCTTATTATTAATGCAGATCGAATGCTATCGACCATGTTGCAATGTGGCCACCAGTCTAGGTGACTCGACACTGCGGGAACTACCTCCAATCACCATCTGATACTAGGCTACAGAATTCAAGATATGGATATCATTTCGAACCATGATATCCAATGGTTCCAGCCATTATTGATTAAGATACTTAGTGTTAAGATTTATATCTTCGTATATTATTTAGATAGAGCATCAATGGTCTCATTACATTGTTGACATATTTTGTTTTAACTGATTTTACACTTTTTCAAACTTACTCCTTGCATAGTTATTGTTTAAGTCCTACGAAATAAGCGTTGACTGAGCATTTATGGTACATTAGTAAATTTAGTTTAATATTTTCATCAATAAATTTGTTGTTTTCACCAAAGTGAAAGTTTCATTATAAGTGAGGAATGGTGTAAAGTTATCTGTGGTCGAATACGGGCAACGTATCAAAGTACTCAACCTTCGAGATCCATCGTTTACAACTATAGGTAGTTAAAATGGACTGCTATGCGCTATCCTTAGTAAAATCTGGCCTAGAACTTCACGTATAGGATTGTGCATTATTAACCAGCATGGAAAGTCTATAGATATCGGTCTAAACAATCACTATCGTGAAACTAAATCCAAAAATCAGGTTTTAACTCGTGCTGGACAACAAAGGGTGTAGCACTTATGAATATGTATGCGTTTTGAGAGTAATAGATTGATTTAATTCATATCTTTCAGATGTACATAGTGCATATTTGGGCAAAAAAAAACCGTTACATGGACCGTATTCATGCTAATATGTATGCTAGGAGTACATGGGTTTCTGACCTGTGCATTTCAAATTCACACTTAATGTTTAGTTGGATAACTTGGATTGAACACTAATGGGCAGCAAATAAAAGAAGGGAAGCGGAGCTAATCCTCTCGTTCTAAATTGGCATATATGCTTAAGTCGATTTGATTTGTGCAACTCAGGTGTGTATGCAATGTATACTTGTCACAAAGATCAGTTTCAAACTATCTTCTTAAATTGAGTAATAAATATCTAAATAATCGTAAAATCCAAACAGTTGTCCTTATGGTTTTCCTGACCGATTTCAGCTTGAAACATACATCCTAGCTCAGTTATATCTGCTCGTGTGAACACGTAAACTTATCCAGGCACTATAACTTCCCAATAATAAACAGATGAATGCCTTTTTTGAGTTACGAATATTAAAAGTTCGTAAGAGGCACAAGAATTAGATAGTTTGGACTGGATACCAAATGATGATCTTTGTGTACGGAAAGATAAATTACATAAACTTTACGAAATTATTGTAGTTAGTTATAGATAGTTACTAAATCATAAATTATATCAGAAAGAGCTTGAACTCTCCAACATAAACTAAGTAGACTATGATCTCTTGGTTGAGTTAAATATAAATTCATTGATTTTTATATTTTCCATTAACCAGTAAATTCAGATTATTGGGAAATTTCTACGTCGTTTTTGTGCACTGACATTATGTAAATCAGTTCAAAGAACATGAAGCATAAAGATAACATAAATCAGAGAGAAAAAAATATGTACAGTTATAGGGAGTCTGAAGATTGAACCGAAGATGCTTTTCAATCTTAAATAATTCAGAACTGAAGTCTATAATATAACTACCACTATTAGTGATGAAAGTTCCCCTTATTAAGGTTGATCTAAACCAAAATTAATTATAAATTACTAAGTAACTAAAATATTTGGAGATATAAAGTGTCTCAATCCATGATATCCGACACGGATACTACACTCGAAATGTGCTTAACCAACCAGTTATGTGAGTGAGCAGATTGAGAAATGGCTAGGAATAATTAAATATATAAATCCTTGACGTCCATATATTTGTTCTTTTAAGCATAATAAGGATATGTACACTATAACTTTAAAAAAAACACAATCGAAGTCTCTTTATAGAGTGGCCTCGTCTGAAACTTCTCACCTAACCTTTGACCTTAGGTTGGTATATGAAAACAAGTGTATAGTCAGGAATTACAGATTTTGTACTGCACTGTTCGGAAGTCTTAATCTATGACATCCAAAGTTATCTATTATTCGGTAGTTTATAGTTGTTCACCAGCTGGTACTATGTTGTAATGAAAATAATAAACAAAAAAAATCAATTGAAACTATACCTAAACCAGGGAACAATTACTTACTGCATATTTTACGATTAGCCATCAATGAATAATAATCTAAATCACATTCTGAAGAAGAAGATTCTATTGTTGTTGTTGTTGTTGTTGCCGATAATGATGAAGATGGTTGAATAGTTTGATCATCATTTATAATAATATCTTCTTTACTCCATAAAATTTTCATACGTAATGTTACTTGTTCTATTGGACAATAATCATATTCAGTGATTACTTCATTTAAATCATTAGAATTATCATTAAATGTATCATCATTATCAGGATGAATAAGATAAGTAAAATTATTATTTTTTTGTGGACAAATTAAAAATTTTGCATTCGATGCAAATGGATATGGATTTGATAATGCAGAATACTCAATTTCTTTAGGGATACCTAAAAATCAATAAAAAAAGAATTGATAGAATTTTACCTTAGATAGTTGTCTATCACAATATCCTATTGTGAAGTTAACATGAATTAAACAATATATCATCAATCAGAATCATATTCTTTTTTGTTCATTAGTGAAAAGGAAACATACTCACATAGTAGATTATTATATGGAAACAATATACAACTGTCATAATTTCTGCTACTTTTAGATTTCATGTCAATAAATAATGAGGGTTATGTAATCGATTTCATTGTAATAATTGTAATTGTAATGATGATTACAGTAGTTATGTAATCAATTAGTAATTGCTTTAACTTTTGGTTTATCACTTTGGTTTGATAAATTGGTAATATTCATTTAAATAGAAGAGATTTAGTGAATCGTTTAGGGTAAAAGGGTGGAAAAAAGAAAATATAAAGCACAAAAAAGTAGTTTGTAATCAGTTGATTGAATTCATGAGTCAATTGAACCTAGACAACCTTGGAAAACTTGGAAGCACTGAACGGCCGTTTCGTCCTATTTTGTGAGTTCTCAGCAGTGCATATCCACGTTCCCGACTCGCAAGATTCGAACCTAGGACCTATCAGTCCCGCGTGCAATTGCTTAACCACTAGACCACTGAGCCGATTGGCATCCAACGGTGTTATTGTCTAACTTCAACCAATCCACGAAGTTGTACTTTACATTTATTGACTTAAATTTACAATTTTGTAAACTACGGAGTAGTTATTGTTACTGATTATAAAACTCAATAAAAACGGTTGTGTTATTCAAGGTTCAGTAAGGGTTGAAGCGTCTACAAAAATCACCTCAGAAATAATTAACAGTATGGGGGTTGTGGAGATTATTAAGTTTTTGATTGAGATCATGAACCGATTGATGTTAGATCACCGCTGAAAACCTGGAAGCCCTGGGTTCAAATTCCCCGAGCGGGATCGTGAATGCGCATTGCTGGGGAGTCCCACCATAGGACGAAACGACCGTCGAGTACTTCCAGGTTTCCAACGGTGGTCTAACATCAATCGAATCATGATCTGAGTCAAAAATAATTACCAGATTATTCAGTTTGAAATCACCTTGATGCACACTATCTAAATACTAATTAATCTAACCAGCTTTCTGTTCAGTTATTCAAATTAAAGTGCACACATTTTTTTAATAAAAGAACTCACAATCAATTTTACTGTTATTAGTAAGTATTGTATACGTTAATGACTACCTGGACTCAGTAAGTCAGGAGCTAACGTGCTCGTTGTTAAAGAGATGAGTAATGAGTATGAGTCCCAATATAAACATAAACATTGGGACCCATATACACTCAGCTAACAAGTCCTATGTAGGACAAAACACATGATGTGGAACCCACTGTCAGATTTTCACGTTCATTTACAATCACGTAGTCTGACAATTAAAACAGGTAGGTAAACGTTAAAAGTGAGCAAAAGTCGTACATATATTCATTTGATCATTTTTAATGTTGTATATACACTCAAGCTATTGTAATAAAGCAAAAATATAATGACTAAAACAGTGAAACGTCAGAAACAATAAATATCATATGACATATTTCGATATAAGGCAAAATGAAATAGATGGGATACATTTAGACATTGGAAAACTAAAAGCATGAGTCAACTAGGTGAGCTAATATATATATGTGTGTGTGTGATTACATTAAGTTAAAAAGCACAGTTATACACGAACAGACGCAAATATTTAGAGGAAACGAAATTCATTTAGCTTGTAGTATATGGAAAAATTAAAAATTACAAGTGTCAATATGTAAAATACTGAAGTTTTCTTTCCACATACATAAACTAATATACGTATTGTACATACATAAATAGATAAATGTTTCATCTTTCCTTTCTACAGTTCTATTCCATTAAAATACTATTATGATATAATAACCAGACAAAGGCGACTAGAGATATACAATAAAGATCCGTACACATTTATACACACACACACACACACTGATACACCTATATTATTCACGGTTAAGTAATTTTCCTATATAGAATTTCGATGTAACAAATCTACAGTATGTAGGAAATCCATTTAAACAACGTTAAATGAAGAGAGTAAGAGCGAGGGACAGAGTGATTAGGTAACTATTGACAAAGGAAATGAATATTTCATTTTCTATCTTTAGCAGTGTATAGGAGATGGAATGTTGTCGGTAAAAACTCAATTAATCGGGGAAATTATTCACAAAATGGTATATAATAATAGTTATTATTATTATTATTGTCACTTTAGTCAATACTGAATAATAAGAACAATATGTAACTTTCAGCCCATAAAGTAGCTTTTGATAGGAAAGTAGTATGTATGTAGCTACAGTTTGCATTAATAGATTGAGAAAATTTCAATTTGATGCTTAAAAAATGTTGAATATACGTATAAGGTTATTTGGAGTTTAAAGACTGTTTAAGAAGTAGTACTGTAACGTATATAGATATAGACTAAACGGGTATTGTACATTTAATGGTAGATCGAAAGAATTCAAAATTATTGGACGGGCATTATTAACAATGTTTTCAACGGCAAACTTTTGTATTGTTATCAGAGTTTACGATAGAATAATAGGCTTGTGAAAATTCATTGTTGGTCAAAACATTAGGCAATTTTTATTAAATGTTTGAAGAAAATATTGTGCATAAAACAAAAATTATGAAAGGAATATACAACCTGTGACCTTCACAGACACATTCAGTATAATGTGATCATTTTTCCTCGAGTATTCCTTTCATTTTGGTTGATTTTCCCATCTGAACAGGTTTATAACATTTGATCCCGAAATCGGTTACACATGAAATCACCGTGACTAGAAGTTCGAATACAACGGAAGTTAACGGTTATTGTAAGAATAATTTATCGATTTGTGAAGCGATACTCTGTATCAGTTGTCTTGTAACTACTAAATATCTAGGTTTCTGTGCATTAGTATTCTTCAACTAGAATTATTTAGAATCTTGCAGCAAACTGACTGATGTGAATGCATCAACACTACTACTGAGTGCACAAGCACATAATTGATTACTACTCAATAATAAGTTGATATAAATGTATTTCGTAGATTTGTTGAGAGTTGAGAGTATGTGACTAGATCATTGAGTAATACAAGTGAAATCCAATGTTAGAGGATCATAGCTCTCAAGTTTACATATATGTTCTGATGACTAGTAGTCAGTGGCATAGAACGAAAATCCATGTACTTCTACTGCTTTGTTTATACCGGTGAATAACTTAACAAAGTGACTACACTGATAAAATATGAGTAACACTGTGGTAATGACAACTACGACATTGTCTACTACTAAACAGTTGATACCAGATTCAATGTTCAATTTTATTGACTGACTGATAAGCAGATTATGAAGCAAATAGAATATTATAGTACAAACTAATGTTTAATCTTCATTCCACATTTTATTATGTCTTCCAGAGTAATTTATAAAACTAATTTTTCTACCTATTATATTAAGAGAAAATGACGAGTCTATAATTTATGGACAAATCAGTCAGGTGACAGGTCTGAGATTCTGGCGCGAAATTCACTTATTGTTATATCCGAGCCAAGATTAAATCACGAGTAACTTCTGAGACATTAATTGACTAATATTATCTATATATTCTTACGGTGTAATTATTTAATAGTTAGATTATGTATATTTATATTCCCCTTATCATAAGCTTCACTTTGACCTATAATTTATCATTGTACGATTTACTGTCCCTAAATTATGCTCAGTTTATTAATTACTGTCTCCCACATTCACAGCCACTTTTTGGCCTATTTGTGTACACATGTTAGTTACTATTTTATGGTACGTTGTGGTCTGCCTGATTGATATGTAAACCGAGTATGTCTGAAATAAATGATTTGGTTCGATTTGTTTGATTCAGAAGCTGGTATTGTGTTCTGGACTCAAGAGGACGGGTTAGAAGGACGTAGGACCCAATAGGACGCTAGACTGCTCAGACCGGTTGAACGTCATTGGTCTTGTCATAGTGCGAATATTCGTATAAGCCGTATTCTGATTGGTGTATAAGTCACGTGATCGTAAGCCGGACATCAAATCATAACACTTATCTATTTGGCCAAATAGAGCTTTGGCATTATAACTTATGTCACTTCGTAATGAAAACCCTAAATCTTATACCTAACCTTAACCAGCCATTGTAAATCCTGATTCTAATTTCTCACACTGGTTTATAGCCCGCATTCGGTTTTAGATGTAGGGTGGACACTCTCAAGGTCACTTTAGCGTCATTCAAAGGTCGTCCACAGATTATAGTTTCACCATATACTTTTGCAGTTCACCATATATCTGATATTGATTATCACTGATTAACTATATATTGTCAATTACATAAACTTTTCTAATCTCTAAAGTAAGTAAGCTTTCCATAAGAAGTTTTAATTGTTAACTCATATAAAGGAAAGTTTAACACAATTATCTAATGACTCCAAATGAAGCTATATACATATAAAAATAATACTCTTACCGTTCCATTGTGATACACATATTGCTTTTACATAAACTGTTACCGGTACTGTAGAACTGTACGGTATTGGAAGATGACAATCGAATCCAGTTACATTGAATTCATATAACATATCTGTATGATTATTAAATCTTATTAAAGATCGGATAACACCTGAAATTTATTAATCAATGATAGAACAAATAAATTAGATTAATGAGGAAAATATTTTCATTTTAACGTAATTAAATTATTCATTACTGTTAGCAGTGACCAGTGGAGTTCAACCGAGACTGTTGTAAGATAGTAATTCGCGGAACACAATGGTGGATGTGTCGCACAATTTTGTGGACTGGTTGAAGTTAGACATTAACACCGTTAGATGATGGCTGTCTCAATGGTCTGGAGGTTAAGTGCTCACACGCGAGATTGATAGGTCCTGGGTTCAAACCTCAAAAGGCGGGATCGTGTATGAGAAATTCTGGGCATTAAATAAGAAAGATTAGTTCAGTGAAGAGTTCTCTGTTCGGCGAATTCATTTTCAAAGCTGTACAATCGCAATTATATATACTTATTTTTACAGGATGATAATAGTACTGATAATAAACTTGTTATACATGGTGACAGTGAGGTTAAATAAACAAAAGTATTAAAAATTTTATAAAACAAGGAATGTTTGATAATCGTTTGATTGTTAATGGCCTAAATATTTATCAAAGCATAGATAGGGAAATTGTCATTGGGAAAGGATGGCTCAGCATGATAAGATAAAATGTTGAAATTGAGATTAAATGTAATCGGAAAAATCATGGAAATAAAAACAAACCAGTTGGGGGTAGAAGATTTAAGGGGCAGGTGAAAGGTGAAGCAGATGGCTGTAAAGGAACAAGAGAAAATTTTTTAATATATTAAGACCAAGGTAGAAGAAGAGGTTGTACCAGTCTCTTTTTCACACATAATTCTGGTTTTTGCAGGTGTATGGTTATTGCTTCGGTCAAAAACGCATATAATTATAGTAGAAAAGAAAAACCTATACATGAACAGCGACTTCAAAGGAGATAGAGCCACATATGTCTTGAAGAGGAGAATTTCGGACTATTTAAAAAGAACATTCCCCGCAGCAACATTGAAAATATCATTCTCCAGCCGATCATTGTTTATCAATAATCTGAAAGATAAATTATCGCATCTGACCAACTCAATGTGCATTTACTAATTTACCTGCTCATGGGGAGCTAGGTATATAGGTCGTCCGATGCGTACTTTATCCGAAAGGATTCAAGAACATTGTCCGGCGTGGCTAAAAAGAGGAGGCAACGGCTTAGTAAGAATTTCTTTAATCGAACACCTTGTGAACACAGGTCACTCAATCAAGACAGATTCTGCGTTCAAAGTCATTTACAAGGTAAGTAGAAATCTTCCTAAGGCAATCAGACTGCAGCTCCTTTGCATCGCCGAAGCAATAACCGTACACCTGCAAAAACCAGAATTATGTGTGAAAAAGAGACTGGTACAACCTCTTCTTCTACCTTGGTCTTAATATATTAAAAAATTTTCTCTTGTTCCTTTACAGCCATCTGCTTCACCTTTCACCTGCCCCTTAAATCTTCTACCCCCAACTGGTTTGTTTTTATTTCCATGATTTTTCCGATTACATTTAATCTCAATTTCAACATTTTATCTTATCATGCTGAGCCATCCTTTCCCAATGACAATTTCCCTATCTATGCTTTGATAAATATTTAGGCCATTAACAATCAAACGATTATCAAACATTCCTTGTTTTATAAAATTTTTAATACTTTTGTTTATTTAACCTCACTGTCACCATGTATAACAAGTTTATTATCAGTACTATTATCATCCTGTAAAAATAAGTATATATAATTGCGATTGTACAGCTTTGAAAATGAATTCGCCGAACAGAGAACTCTTCACTGAACTAATCTTTCTTATTTAATGTTTCAATTGGTGTATTCCGTTTATTAAATTCTGTGCAGTCGTAAATAAGACGAAACGGCCGTCCAGTGCTTCCGCGTTTTCTATGGTTGTCTAGCTTCAATTGACTCATGACCTCAACTAATAAAATTAACTTTTTTATTAACAATAAAAAAATTTTTATCAGAAGAGATTGTGTGGAGATTTTAGAAATTTCACTGGTTGAAATCATGAATCCATTGAAGTTAGACGACCATGGAAAACCTGGGAGCGCTGGACGGCCCTTTCGTCCTAGTATGGGACTCCTCAGCAGTGCGCATCCACATTTCTAAATAATAAATGCAAACAATTTGATATCATCTATGAAGAATCAGTGAGAACGAATAGTGATGAAAATATATTTTGTCTTAATCGGGACTCTTTAGAACTGTAATAATAACAGATCCATACGAAGTCAAACCTAGCATCTTCCGATCTGGTATATATACGATGATACTATCTAAACAATGGATTCAAAAAGAGTCCGTTTATTAAGCATGAACTTCAGTGGGGTCGCATACTTCAGTGAAACAGTTGTCCATTACTTCCTGGTTTCCAGTGGTTGCCTAATTAAGATCAATTTGTGATTCAAACCGTAGAACTCAAAAATCTTAGCGAACATCTTATACATATTATTATCCAATTTCTTGGTAGTATGATAATTAATTGATAGTTGAAAATTAGTAGCATTCAGTAGATGTTAATTACCAACTGATCCCAAGAATATTAGTTGCAATTATTTAAATTATTGATAAACATAATCAAGCATTGAAATCATGTATATGTATCAAATGTAAATAATTTAATTGACCGTGGAAGATAAATATACTGTTGTGTCAGTAGTGTTTTCTTCCATATTCACCAACAACTTGGTATAAACAGCATTTATAAGTACAATGTGTTGGAACTTTGGTTTCATCTTGAGTTGATTTCGTTGAAGATTATAATCATGAATAGAAATTATGAAAGAACAAAGATTTCACGATTCCAAGGTTCTGATGGCAGTGAAAAATGTATATAGGGTAGGACATGAATATATGTTAGATCGTAAACTTAAATATACAATCAATGAAATACTACCCAGAAACCAAATTGTCCAAAATGAAGTGATGCGCTGTTTTGTCTTTGTAAATAATCGTTAAAAAGCAAACGCTTTAAAGCACTAATAAACACCCATGGTAAATAATCTACGTATAGCATTATCTACCGAAATTCACGACAACATTCAAAATTGCGTATTTTAAGTTGGAGTAATCTATATTTTTATGAAAAACGAACTAAACTCGTCCTCTATTAATTGACAACCAAAATTATCCATCTTTATTTATAAATAACCCTTACAAGATAGGTGTAAACACAATTAATTACCAATCATCTTTCAGGGTTATTATCAAAATAGACTAATCAATTATATACTACTGTTTAACAATTTGAGTAGCTGGAGATCGCATTGTTATAGAGAAAGTAGTGTTTCAGCACTACAATTTTGATGTCATTACCTACATTTCGATTTTTAAACACTTCATTAAACTTGACCCATAAACATTTTAAAAACGATACTTAAGATTTAACTTTTTCACAGAAACCAAATGTTGAGAATGCACTTTCAAACTATTTCATTGTTCTGGAAACTTTCAGGTAATGTGGCAAAATTAACGGTTTGTCACATCTGGTGAAAAGAGTCCAAAACTACATCAACTTCTTGAATTGAAGAAAGGTATAGTTTAGATTATGAAAGGTTTTGGAAGATAATCATTAAGAACTACCCATAAAGATTTGTAAGACAGTTAAGTGGTAATTTAAATATTAAAACTTAGATGATAATCCATATCCACACATAATTCATTTTATGTAGTTCTTAAAAGATAACATCTTCAGATCTGTATTACTACACTGTTGTCTTTTAACCCGCTGACTAATGTCACATGTTAAGTTGTTTTCCGAAGAACTCTAACTTGGTATCCTCATTTGCAAACTTTTGTCTTGAGTAGGAACCAGCCTCTACCATATTTATGCTTCAGACAGACTTGATTTTAGATAACAATAACTTTACTAATATAAATAAAACAAAATTTTATAGCTCTCTGTTATATTGATTAATAATGGGAAGTATTTAAAGGAACTGATTTTTTTCTATGACCATTTAGGTTGACAGATTTTATAAAAATTTCATTTCCGTTCAGGCGTTAAATTTTTTTTTTAGGTTTTTACATCTTGCATCGTTATTCACATCAATGTAAATGACAATTCTTCAGCTTATTTTTGAAACATTTCACAAACAGTAATAACCAGATTGACATGAATAGCAAAAATGGTGTAGGAATAGGGAATATGACATTTGTAATGAAAAAGAAGTAAGTAAAAGTTGAAGGTCTTTAGTGCAGTTGTAGATGCGCATTGTTGTGTAGGTTTATACTAAGCCGAAACAGCTGCCCAGTGATTTCTAGTTATCAGGAACTGTTTAACTATTGTCACTTCAGTGATTTATTTAAGCCACTTATACTAAAAATCAAGAGTAAATCATTAAATTTTAACTCAGTGATATAATTATAGTGTATTTAGCGTAAAATCTGCACGTTTTGGATTCAATCTTGTAATGGCTCATGGTAGTACACTGTTCAGCATTTTCAGGCTACGGCCAAAGTACTGTCCTGTATTAGATCGTTTACAATAGCTTTCCAGATGATATAAGTTCATAATGAAAAATCCCTTGGGAAACGTACAAAATCCACAATGTAGTAAAGTAAAAATGAAACAAAACATTCAATAGTTAGCAACCATATAGAGTTTAAGCGTTCACATGAGAGACCGAAGATCCTGGATTCGAATCCCCTGTGTGGGATCGTGGATGCGCACTGCTGAGAAGTTCCACTATAGGACGAAGCGGCCGTCCAGTGCTTCCAAGTTTTTAATGGTGGTCTAAATTAGATTGATTCATGAATTCAACTTTGGAAAAAACCATTGTAATTGACTTCAAGTTATCTAAATAAATTATCAAGATTTCAAGAGTATGTACACAGTAATCCACAAAATGTATGCAAAAATTTTAAAGATACGGATATGTAAAAAATGGCAACACAAGTTACAACATTTCGGTATACATAAACTGGAATGCTGTACTGTTGTAAATGAATAAAATTGGAAGTGGAAACCATTCAAGTCTAACTCAAGTGATTTGATGGGTGACCAACCAGCTAC